ACCAACCACCACCACCACCACCAAACCACCACCACCACCACCACGAACCACCACCACACCACCACCGAAACACCACCACCACCACCACCCACCACCACCCACAACAAACCACCACACCACCACCACCACAACCACCGCCGCCACCGCCACCACCGCAACCCACCACCACCACCACCACCGTCGTCCTCGTCGACGCCCCCCGCCGCCCCCGCCCGCTGCCGCAGGCGCCGGCGCCGGCCTGGAAAAAGAAATCGTCGCCCTCCGCCGCCGCCGCCGACGCAGGCGCCGGAACTAGGAAAGAGAAAGCGGATAAATAAGGGGGGGGGGGGTCCAGTTCCACCCCCGCCCCCCCCGCCAAGCGACCGTGGAACCACACTTTCTCAGAGCGCGCTCGCGCGGGCGGGCTGGGCGCGGAGGTCGCTCGCGCGGTCGCTCAGCGCAGCGCGAGCATCGCAGCGCCTCGGCGCCGGCGGCGGCCGCCTCGGACCCGCCTGGTTTCGCCGCCAAGCGCGCGAGGTCGCCCGGACTGACGCGCCCCGCGTTGATGCGCAGCCTCCCCAGTTTCCGCTGGCACTCGGCCGGGTGCTCCGAGGGCGCCCCTCCCTCTGCCAGAGGGCCTCCGCCTTCTACTCCAGGGGCCCCGACAGGAGCTCCTGGAACCAAGCCTTCCAGACCAGGGAAGCCATCTGCAGAGCCAGTCTCCCAAGCACCGTCCCGGCGCGACACTGCGCGACCGTCGGGCGCCATGTCGGCGCCCGCTCGCGCGCGAGCGCCCTTGCCGCCCAGGATCTCACCAGCTCGTCGCCGCGGGAATTTTGGGCCGAGAGAGGCTGCGGTCGCCGAGTCGCCGCCGTCGCCGCGGCCTCGGCTCGCTCGCCCCGCGACCTCGCCTCGCTCGTCGAAATTCGGCCGCCCGCCCTGGCGGGGGGGCGCTGCGCCCGCCCGCCGGTGGAGGACGGCGCCCGTAGAAATCGACATCGGCACCGCTCGCGCGCTGGCCCGCAGCTCCGCCAGCTCCCGCGCTGGGCCCCGTCGGCCCGAAGTCCAGGGCAGACGTCGCCATGTGCCCTCAGCAAGGCGCCGCGAGCGGCTATTGGCTCCTGCCGACTGCGCCCAGCGAGACCTCGCCCTCCTTCGCGCGGACGCGCGCGCCTCCAGCTACTTCAGGGCGCCGCCCGAGATCAGCGGGGGCGCGCCCTCGCCCGCGAGGCCGAAGCGGACTGCAATTCCTTCGCCGCCCCATTACATGGGCACCAACACCGCCGCGAGGCTGTTAGATCGCGCCGCCGGGTCCGAACCGACAGGGTTCGCGCCCCTTCGCGACCGCGAACTCGCGCCCCGGCGTCATCTTGACGCACGACGACAACCGCCAGTGCCGCGAGAATCCCGCCGCGGACTTGGCGCGCGCCGCGTCGACCGCGATCGACCGCAGCTCGTCGCCAGTCTCGGCGGTCAGCGCGCCCCGTGGGCCCGCGACCGCGGGCGCCCCCTCTGGCGCCGGCTCCGCCTCGCCGACGGGCCGGCTCGCCGCGGCCGCCTGCCCTCCCCCGTCCTCGCCGGGGGCCGTCGGGCGTTCCAGGTCGCCCATCCAGCGGCCCAGCCGCCCGCGGCGCTTGCGCGGGAGAGTCTGCTAGAGCCTCTCGATTCGCTCGGCTTTTGCGCCGCTTGTCGCGCGCCTTCCTCGCCTCTGCGCGGGCCGTCTTCGCCCGGGCCATCGTCGCCGCGTTGTCCGTCGGGCAGGCCAGCAGCTCCTCAAGAACATGTTCGTGCTCGGCCGCTTCCTCCGCTCCCGGCTCGCCCTTGAAATTCATCTCCTCGTCGTGCTCCGCGTCCTCGGGACATTCGCCGTCGTCGTCAGCGGCGTCGCCCAGGTCGTCCTCCTGGCCGCCGCGCGTGACGTGCGCGGGGCGACCGCCGCTGCCGCCGGCGCTCCTTCCTGGAAGTCGACGGTTTTGGTTCAGGCGCTCTCGGCGCGCGCCGCCCCCGCCGCCTGCTCTCGGCGGCAGGGTCGGCGTCTTTCGCGGCGTCGGCGCGCGAAGCGGGCATGCCTTGGCGGAGCCCCGCAGCTCTCGTAGACCAGCTCGCCGCCGGCGCCCATGATGATCTGGCTCTCCTTGTCGCCCCCCACTCGCAACGTCTTCGAGGGGTAGTGAGCATTCAGGTGCTCGTTGAGCGGCTCGCCCATGGCCCCCTCAAGCTCGCGGACATTCGTCTCGCGGCGCGCCTTGAAGTCCAGCGCCCCCCTCCCCCGAAGTCGCGCGCGAACTTCTCCATGAACTCGCCCGCCAGCGCGCCGACCTTCGGCGTCTCCTTCTGGTCGCACTTGCTGCGCAGGTAGCGCGAAAGCACTTGGGCGCCGCCAGGTCCCGCGAGGGCCTCGGGGTCGAGATGATCTGTCTTCGCCTTGGCGTCCCCCTTGAGCCTGGGGGGCGGCCGGCCGCCCCGCCGCCGCGGCGGGATCGCGGCGTTCAGCTCGAAGATCTTCACCCAGCGCTTGTAGGTGAGGAGTGGCGCGGACTTCCAGCCCGCACTCGGTCGCGTACTTCTCGTCTACCCTGTCGCGCCCGTCGCCGTCTGCGGCGGCTGCGCCGACGGCTCGCCAGCCGCCCCAGCCCGAAGTCTCCGACCGTTCGCTGGACGTCCGATCCCGACCCTGGTCGGCCCCAGCCTCCGCCGCTCGCCCGCGCCAGGCGAGCATCGCACCAGGCCCCGGCCCGAGGGGCCCCGGCGCCCCTGCTTCTCGGAGCGGGACTCCCCCCTCCCCACTCACGGCGATGGAGCCCGCGAGCGCCCGAGTCGATCCTCGAGCCCCATCCGCCGCAGCAACGCCGCGCCTCGTCCGCGGGGGCCCCCCGTGCCGCGGGAGGTTCCTCCGGAGCGCTCCGCCCGTCGTCGGCCGATCGGAAGCCGTCATCCTCTTCCGGGCCGCCGCCCCGGGGACTTCCCCACTCCTCAGCGCGCCGTGCCGGGGCTCGAGCTGCTGCCGCCCCGGCGTCCATGTCCCCCACTGAGGACATACTGCTGGTTCCTCAGCGGGGTCGGCCTCGCTGAAGCTCTTCCGCCGCGACTCTGGAGACAGCGCTCCGCGCCGTGGATCGAACCCGCTCGGGGGTAGCTCCGTTGCCAATATCGACGCGATGAGATGTTTCACCACAAGCGGTCGCGCCCCGCTGCAGGCAGGTCAGATAGGGCCAATCCCCCCCTCCGCCCTAGCGTCGAAAAGGCTTGTGCTGGAAATCGGCGTCGGGAGGGGAGGTAGGTGGATGGGGCGGCAGTGACCTTCAACGCTCACCACTTATGACTCTGAAGCCCAACATTTTCAACAACTTCACAAATGGGAGGCGGGTGGTTTTCAAAATGTGGTTCTCGTTTGAGCGCCGCGTGCATTCGCTAGAAAATTTGCAAGCTCTTCGCGGATTGAGGGCAAACCGGCTTTTGAATGTGGTTCTGGCCTTCCTTTCCTCTTCCAAAAAGGAGGTCCTTACCCCTCCCCCTACCCCCAACCCTGGACCTGGACGGGAGGGGCCGCGATCGGTTGGAGCGTGAGCGTCCAAGATCGGCCCCTGGAAGGGCCAAAGTTCAACACCTCGCACGAAGATCGTGGCCCCCGAGGGGGGGCCTCGATCGGGCGCCTCCCTCCTTTGATCGATCGCCACTAAGATGGCCCCAAGAGGCGCTGCAGGGCTCCCAAGAGAGCCCAAAGAGAGCCCCAAGAGGGCTCCAAGAGGGGCCCCAAAAGGCACCCGAGAGGCCCCCAAGAGGCCCCCGAGCGGTCTCAGAGAGACCAAGATGACCTCCAAGATGGCTCAGATTGTCCAAGCTGGCTCAAGATGGTTCCCAAGACGCCCCAAACGGTCCCAAGACCGCTCCAAGAGCGCCCAAAAGCGCCCCAAGAGAGCCCCAAGAAGCGGCTTGCTGGCCCCTGAGAGGGGGAGCTGAGTTGGGCCCCCCCCCCCCATCCTTTAACCGATGACCTCCTAAGTGATCCCAAGAAACCTTCCAGGGTTATCAAGAGCGTTCCTAGAGGGCCCCCTCAACTCCCAGAGAGCAGCAGCAGCAGCAGCAGCAGCAGCAGCAGCAGCAGCAGCAGCAGCAGCAGCAGCAGCAGCAGCAGCAGCCGCAATAATACCTGTAGATGAACCCATGAGTCTTCGTCCGTGTCGTCCTCATCCTCTTCGTCCTCCTCGTCCTCGTCCGCGTCCGCGTCCTCGTCCTCCTCGTCCTCCTCGTCCTCCTCGTCCTCCTCCTCCTCGTCCTCCTCCTCCTCCCCTCGCCCCCACGCTGCACCCAGGGATGACCCAAAGAGGCCTTCCAAGGCCACCCCCTTGCTCGCGTTTTTTTCCTAGATGTGTATCTTCGCCCCTTTTCCCGAAAGCTCTGAAGGGCAGGGTTTCTGAATGGGCTGGTGAGGATACTTTTTTAGTCAGCGGCCGCGGGCGAGCGCGCCAGCGGCGAGTCAGGTCCAAGCGGGCTACGCAGAGACTAGGCTGGTGAGGCTACTCGAAGCGTGAAGAACTTGCAAGAGCTGAGGGCGGTTCCTTTTCCAAATGTAAGCATCGCCTCACCGCCGCGCACATTCGTTTAAACACTTGGCGAACAATTCATTGGTTCTCATGACCAAAGTGCCAGAAAGTTTGCTTTGGAGGAATTCCGGATTATGCGGTCGCAACAGTTACGTTTTGGCATGCTTCGGGCTCTTTCAAACGGTTGGTTGTCTTCCAACGAGGCAGTTCCCTCAATTGAAATGAACCGTTATGGGGGCCTATGGAGAGGGAGCTTGGAGAGTGGTGTATTCCAACATCGTTAATGACACTTGAGTTTACACTGGTCCTCCTCCTCCTCCTCCTCCTCCTCCTCCTCCTCCGCATCCTCTCATCTCCTCCTCCTCCTCCTCCTCCTCCTCCTCATCCTGCTGTTCCTGCTGTTCCTCCTCTCCTTCTCCAACTCCTCCTCCTCCTCCTCCGCCTCTTGTCCCTCCCCTCCCCTCCCATCCTAGTCGCCACCCTTGTGGCATGATCACGGAGCACCCATTGAAGCCAATCACAGCTTGGAGGACAACAACGTTCCGGCCAACCTGAGCTGCTCCGCAGCCTGGGCGACCATGTCCTCTCGGGAACGGGGGCTAAACGGGGCAGGGGGCAGTGCTCATACTGATGAATGGTGATCTCCAGAGTGAGCAGCACTACTACGGCAGACTGGATCCCTCCATGTCCTCTACCAGTAATGCAAGCGGGGTGCGGGGCTTGAAGATCATCGGAGGGAGACAAGTGGTGTCAGCACAGGGATCGGAGGGTTGCACGCAGCTGGTTCCCCGAGGAAGCCCGAGCCGTCAGTGCGCAAGCCGTGGCCAACGAGGCGAGGGCGCCCGACAGCGGGGGTCGGACCGGCTACCCGCGGCAGACTTCCCGGCGGTGCGCACAGGGGGTCGAGGCGAGGGGGGCGACCTTCGAAGAGGGCGCCCCCGCCGTCTCGCGAAACCCTCGCGCCCTCTGAGTTAGGCCCACCACCACCACCCGAGAGGCCCCTGGGCCCTTCCTCCCCCCAGAGGGCCGCACCCGGCACCATCACTACCTGCCTGCGCGCCGCCGGTGACTCCCCCCTCACGGACGAAGAAGCTCCGTTGGCCAATCAGCTGCATGCCACTGGCTGTCCCGGCGCCAGAAGCAGCACGCACCAAGGCGGCCTCCCTTTCTCCCCCCCTTCCTCTTTCCAGGCCCACGGAGACAGAGGTCTCCCGCGAGGCCGCTCAAGGCTCCCCGGAAGTCTCCGAGGCCTCCCCGAAGCCTCCCCGAAGCCACCTGAAACTCCCCTCCCGTTTCGCTCGAGCCACGACGTTCCTGCCCCCGCTCTTTTTCCGATCGCCGCCCCCCCCCTTTTCCGAGCCCACGCCCCCCCCCCTTCACCCTTCCGATGCCCCCCTTGTTCTGACCCCCCTCCGATCCCCCTTCATTTTCTGACGCCCCCCATCTCCATTTTCCCACCCCCCTCCAGAAGTCCTCGACGATCTTGGCAGCGGGCAGGATATCGGTTATCGCCCCGGCCGCCTGGCCGGTCAGGAACACGCCGCGTTTCCGCCTCTGCGCGGGGCCGCGGAAACTGCGTCCCTCCCGCCACCGTTCCATATCCCAGCTCGCTCCGCCCACCCCGCCCCCCACTCCCATTCTTCTCCGGGGGAGGATCCTCCTTCTCCTCCCGGTCCCCTATTTCTCTCCCTTCCGTCCTCGTCTTCCTCGTGCTCCCCCTCCTCCCCTTCCACCTCCCCTTCCTCCTCCCCTTCCTCCTCCTCTTCCTCCTCCTCCTCCTCCTCCTTCACCTCCTCTTCCTCCACCTCCTCGGACATCAACAATACGGTGCAATCCACCTGCCTGCCGCAACCGCAGCGCGACGTGCGTCGAATCTCGGCCCTCCGCCGCGATTGTCCGCGCGCGGCCGCGACCGCGGCTACGAGTATCTCCCGTCACAGGGTGACGGGCCCAGATAGCTCGTGCGGGGCTGCAGCGTTATAGCACGTGGTACCCCCAGTTCGCGCCGAAGCCCAAGCTGGCAAAAACGAGCAAATGCCGACCAGCACTCTTGCAGAAAGCGGCGTCGTCCTCGATCGCGGCCTCCTGCGCGCCTCAGCTCGACGCAGGCGCGCCGGCGAGGGCCTCCCGAAGCGTGACCCACTTGAGCCAACATCGCTTGATTCAAAATCGATTGCTTCGGGAGTTTCCTCCCGTGGGTGGACACTGTCCCGGGGTGGGTCCATGGAGCTCCCGCCATCGTGTGGCCGCTTGGCGGCTGGGGGGGCCCCGGTGAAATCCTTCGCCGCCTTGGCGTGCCCTGGCCACGCCCCTCTCTCAAGCCAGTTGCAGGTTGCGGACGCCCGCCTTCCAGGGCGGGCCGCGCTCCTCCGCCAGACCGCGGAAGACTCCATTTTCGCGGGCAAAGCACAATCCGCAGCCGCAGGCAACAAAAGCTCAGGAACCTGGCAACGAGCGCGGGAAGCGTGGTTCGGGTGGGCCACCCTGTCCGCGACGAGCGTGCCAGGCGGCGCAGGAAACTAATTCTCCAAGATCTCAGTTTGGACTGGCACACGCTGAGAGGTCTGCCGCTCGGTCGCCTCTCGGTCGGTTCCCCCTCGGCTCTCCAGACAGCGGCGGTACGAGAATCGGGGAGCGTCCTGGCGTCCTTCCCCCCACCCGTTGGCCGCGCGACATCGTGCGCCGTCCCAACAATCAGGAGATCGAACTTGCCTGGTCGAAGAACCTCCTGCGTAGGTGGCGCGTGCAAGACCCTGCCAGGGCCGCGAGGGTCATGTAATGGAATTCGCTTGCCGAACTTGAAATTGTCAACTCCACTGCTCGCGCAATCATCCCACCCACCCACTCTCAACTTGGTTTGCAAAACCCATGCGGGACCGAGCACAAATATCGCTCCGGGGTCGTCTTGGAGCCCTCGGGGACGTCTCAAGAGCGCCCCAAGAAGGCCGGAGAAGCAAGACGGCCGACGACGACGACGACGACGGCGGCGACGACGACGACGCTGACGTCGACGACGACGAAGACGACGACGCCAACGACGACGACGACGAAGACGACGACGACGTCGCGAACGAAGACGACGACGAGGGAGGAGGGAAGATGACGACGGCGACAACGACGACAACGACGACAACGAGGGAGGAGGGAGGACGGCGACGACGCGAACGACGGTGAAGAAGGAAGGACAGCGACGCCGACGACGACAACGACGACGGAGGAGGGAAGACGACGACGAGACGACGACGACGACAACGACGACGACGACGGCGACGAAATAGGAGGGACGACGACGAGACGCCGACGACGGACGACGACGACGACGAGGGAGGAGGAGGAAGGACGACCACGGCGACAACGACTTCGGAAACGACCACGACGCCAAAGAGGACGACGACGACGAACACGAGGAAAGACACAGGACGACGTAGGCGACGACGACAACGACGACGCGGGAAAAGGGGGGACGGCGACGACAACGACGACGACGACGACAACGCCGCAAGAGCGCGCGCGCACGCTTTTGTTGAAAATCCGTGTTGCGAAACCTTGTGTTTTTGTAAATTTGTTGGACGCGCGATTTCGAAATCCTTCCGAAACCGATGGGTTTTGAAGGATTTCGGCGTACGCGCGCGACGACGCGCGCGTCTGCACTTCGTCTCATTTGTTGCACAATACTCTCGCGACGGCACACGCGTAAGGGCGTTCGACAGATTTCGACATGCGCGCGTGACGCCCGTTTGGTAGCATGTTGTGAAAATCTTGAAAAAAATGGTTTTCTTAAGATTTCGCAAGAGCTCGCGCGTAAGCTTCTTTAGCAAATCAGTATTACGAAACCCTGTGTGCTTGTAGGTTGTTTTGACACTCGATTGCGAATTCCTTCCGGCACCGAAGGTTTTTGAAGGTTTCCGGCATGCGCGCGCGACGACGCGCGCGGGTGCACTTCGTCCAATTTGTTGCAAGGGATTCGTGAAAAAGTGTCTTGTCAATTAATACAACAAATGTCACCGCATAGCTTCTTTTTTAAAACCAGGGAACCTCAGGGGGGGGGAACCCGGCTGGCCTGGGACATTGCGATCTCATATTTAGGATGGACATGCGGTCATAATCATATGTGATTCACCTACCCGAAAGGGGAGGCGATAACTCCAGGGGGGGGGGGAGTCTATTCTCTTTTTAGAAAAGCGAATAGATTGAGCTTGTGGCCAAACGCTCCCAGTTTCCCCCCGATGGCCCTGGCTCGCCTGTGAAGGCGGCCAGGTTCCCGATCGTTTTTTGTTCACGCCTGCGTCCAGCCGTGACTCGCGAGGACGCCCCGGGAAAAAGGGGAAGACCGTAAACATTGAGCCGTTTGCAGTCCCTCCTGGCGGCGGCGGAACGGCGGCGGCGACGGCCACGACGACGACGCCGGGCCCCCCGCCCCGCTTTTCGAGGAGCAAGAGCGCTACAGGCCCGTCTCCGATGCAACGCAGGCAACAGCAGGAGGGCGCGAGGAAAGGGGGGGGGACGGAAGGGCCAACGCGGACCCACGAACCTAGAAGCCCAGACGGAGATACCGTCAAAAACAAACACGCGCCGTGAATGAAGGGTAAAGCGCCCTCCCCCCCGCCTGACAACCCCAAGCGGGGGGAGTCCGTGCTCCACGGTCGGCGTGGGAAGATCAAAGGGGAATTCGCTTCGCTGTTCAGGACTAGCACAGGGTTTGAAACGGCCCTTCAGTGCTGGGAAGAAGCGTGCGAGGATCGTAGGAAGATCAATCCCTCTGCTTCTTGACACGATGCATAGTCTTCCACAGCTCCTGCTGCTGTTGCTGTTTGGCTGCGCCGCCAAGCTCGGCATTGCATTTAACGCACTCACGCAAACGCTCGAGCTCGTCTGGGGGCACCTTCTCATGAATAGTGGCTTTTTCGCTTGCCGCCGCCAGTTGTGGGCGAGTTGGCGCCGTCGCCAGAAGGGCCTGCAGCAAGAGTCCCAGCCATGGGCACGTGCGCCCCCCCCTGTTGCCGGCTGCGGTTGGCTCGTGCTGCTTTTCGTTGCGAGTCATGGGCTTGGTCGCTGTCTCCGAGCTGAGAGTCTTAAAGGCAGCGCGCGCGCCTGGTTTAGCATGCCGACTTGCGCTATTTTGTGAAGAAAGAACTTCGCGCTCGATATCAGTCTTCTTTGCCGCGGCTACTGACTTTGTATTATCGGACGCCGTCTGGATGTCTGTGGCCTGCCTCTCGAGCTTAGTGACATCCATTTTGTTCAACCGCCCCTAATTGAAAGGTTCAGGTTGTTGTTGCCCGGGGCCCCCGGGGGCGCCCGGCGGCCGCGGGGGGCCCCGGGGGCTCTCGGAGGCGCATCCGCAGCAGTGAACTCCACGCGAGGGGCCGACCGCATCATGGGCCGTCTCACGAGGAAAGACGGGCGATCAGACCAGGCAGCAGAAAGCGCGCGATGGCGACGAGAGGACTCTCAGCCGCGCTTCAAAATGTTGAGCAGGGGATCCAGTGACCCCCGATCTCCGAGCGTTCAGAGCAAAGGGCATCGCAGCATGCAGCACGCAGCCGCTTAACATCAGGAGGTGCGGGGAAGAGGAAAATGAAGACTGAAAGCCAATATGGAACCCTCGAGGGCTCACTAGAGCTGGTCGCTTTGAAACAAATCCAATCAGCAACCAGTTGTTCCAAATGAGGGCATTTACAATAGCGTTATATGTCGCCCAGATCCGTCGCCGCATCCTGAGAGCACCCAACAAGAAAACCCTCAGGTTCAGCATGGGATCTCGACGAGGCGTCAATGGGGTTCGCCAGGAGGCGGATGGGGGGGGGGAACGGCCAGGTACATCGCGGCGTGCCTCGCCACCTCCTGCAAGTTCGCGCAGAAAGCGCCGGCGCGGATTGGGGGGGCTCGACGCGCAAGCGACGAGCACGCCTGAACATGATCCCATGTCGCATCCTCTGAATTGTCGCGCTTGCAGGCGAGACGAGAGATTTTGGTCCGAAGAGCTTCCCCCATGGACCATGCGGCGCATGTCCCATGCCCTCTCGCGCTTCCTGGAGTCGCGCAGAGGATTGCTCTGCAACATGAGGGCGGGACGCGAAGCGACGAGTGCAGGCGGCTTTCGCGGGCGCATGGGCGTCGAGGAATTCAGCGCCCAGGCCGATCGCGCACAGCCGGGTGGCAAGATCGTGGGAGATGGCGCGCCTCGGGCCAACCGCGAGAGGCATCGAATCTTTCTTGAAGCACTGTGCCAGGTCACCGCTGGCGGGGTACATCTGAAATCGGAAATGCAAAAGCGAGACGCGCGCGACGCGAAGAGAGACCGCGGAGAGCGCCAGACTCATACCAAGAGCACGAGACAATCGCATCCTGTTACGGAATTTGGGGAGCACCGAGTCCCAAGCGTGTAGAGGGCCATCAGGATCCATCGGAATACCGAGATACACCGCCCAAGACACCACGCGGAGCTTGTCCGCGGGATTGTCAAAGCCTTCCAAACTCATTTCCAGGATGATCAAGTCCAAGTCCCCGCAGCCTACGATCTGACACTTGGCGAAACTCAGTTTCAAGTTC